TTTGAGAAATCTGGGGTCTACCAGACTCTAGATATCTCCTCTGCCCTTGCTTTATCTAATCTCACTAAGATCAGTGTGATCAGATGCTTTCCCAATTTACAAATGGCACTGTTTATATCCTGCTAAACTGAAGTGATAAAATCCTCGTAGCTTCCGATTTCTTAAACTATAGAGATGATTGGCACCATTCTGGTCTCCAATCAGCTCTATGGTCAACTGCAGCAGAAACACCGGCTGCATTGACAGGTTCCCCTGCTGGCACGGGACTGCCCGAAAAGACCGTAGAAGACAGAGGGGATGGGAGGGCATCTTCCACAGCTGCTTGTAACAGCAATCCTGCAGCTAATTAGCCACTAGGATTGCCTTTCCATGAAAGCCGATCGTCGTCTGAAAAAAAACTATACCAGGATGATGCCTGCAGCATCCTAGTATAACCACTCAAAGTCCAGTGATGTACCAGTAAGTCACTGGTCCTTGTTGGGTGTATATGCCAAGTTCTTTTATTTTATATGAGCTGAATTAAAAAAAAGAGAAGAAATCTCTGCCAGAAAAAGTGTGTGATATGCCCACCGTTATATATAATGATAATAATATACTGTCCTGCATCCACCCACTGCTAATGTGCCAAAAAATATTATAAAATATATATGCCGAAGCATAGAAGCCATCCACCCACTGGCCACCCCCAGGCCCCCATGCTTTGGCATATATGCTCTTTTTTTAACTGTGGGTGAAAAATCTCATCCAACAGTGCTACCCACACTGACTTATGTATATTCTGAGAGCAAGAACCTGTTATTGTCAGAATAAACAAGTCGGTGCTCCAGCTGAATGACATCCTCATTTCTCAAGCAGGCTTTTTCCCCCTTTCTAAGACAGGTATTTACAAGCCATTGAGGGAAGCCCCGGCGATTAGGTCACATGGTGCCACATGCGCCAATTCCAAGATTGTACAAATGTCTAAATAGTGGCACACTTGAATAAAAATTGTCCACGTATAAGTGGTACCCCATATGGAAAAAGGATGACACCAAGTCCCAAACTATCTTGCCACTGCTCCCCATATAGTCAGGGCATCCGGCTCGCGCGCGCCCCCTACCTGGAAATGCAAAATCACGTATATATACGTATATTTCTGCTATAGGGCAGACGGTGAGTGGTTAAAGATACAGGGGTTGTAAACACACAAAACAGTGGCATATTGTTTGCAAAGTAAGAGGCAACCTGATCTGTGATACACAGACAACCAATTTTGTTCCTAATTTTGCTTGATGCATTTACTGGTATTTAACTGGACAGCAGCCAGTCCATCTATTAATATCCCAAATAGCAGAATTGGGTGCAATTGATGTCAGCTATGTAAAGTAGAGCCTCCCTAGCTTATTTAATGGAGTAACATCTATCAACTATGTGATTTTTTTTTTTCATTAAAAACCACTAAAAATTTAATGTAAGAAAATTAACATGGGAATTAACATTTTAAGTCCACCCAAAATTATTTTCTTTAAAAATGTTGGTTGAGATGGATCAGGTTTCTATCCCTGGACAACTGTTACTGTTATAGGCACTAGTGATAGAGGATGAGTAGGGATAGACTGTGATCTAAGAGCTAAACGTTCTGATTCCCCTTATTCCTATAGAGCATCCACTAGAGGGCTAGTGGGAGTCACCATATTTTTTTAAACAAATATATAATCTGTTTCTGCTGATCTTTATGTATGGCTATAACCATTCCCAGGACAGTGACAACCTATACACATTTTATATTATGTGCCATTAATGTATCATAAACAGTCCTCACTAAAAAAGCCATTGTGACCCACATTCCCATTTAATGGAGTATTAATGTGCCAGGCTAGAACATGGGGATTTGAAGAATGTGGGTTATTGGTCTGTGCTAAGCAATGCTGACAAATTAATACCTGTATATTCTTCTATATACTGCAAATGATCCGTGTGCTATGTAAAAATGTTTATTTCTGCTCACTAATGGATAGTTCTATAAAAAAAGACTGGATGCTATAGAAACGCAGACAAATTTTGAAGTGTTTGTTATAAATTTGTACCTGAGAAAGCAGCAAGAGAGAAGAATGTAATGGCCTAGTAAGAAGAGAAAGATAAAGACATGCTACTAATAAAATATTCTGAACATATATTTCAATCCGGGTGCTATAATGACCTATACTTACCACATCTTATATCATCACTCTATATTTCATTGCTTTTCTGTACAGTGTACAGTATCTTATACATCTAAAAAGAAGGAGGTTAAAGAATAAACACTGAAGGTTTTGGACTGGAAACATATTTAGAAAAACTAAACTAAAAGTTCTATGAGCTTCGAGAAGACTATGAGGAATTCTATATCAGAAAGTAAGAAAACCATAGATAGGTGGAAACTGCCCATGGTGTAACTGTCATAGTTAAAAAGAAAGGGCAAACTGCAATAAACAGATATTTTATAGAGTAAATATGAGATTTTTTCAAATTCATTTTATAATTCCTGGGGCTCACCTCATTGCATTATTTGTTTATGATTGTAATCACAATCGTCCCCTTATATCCCCCACCTTAGATTTTTGTCTCTTTCAACCTACAATAATGTCTGATGAGTAAGTTTTTTTCATCCTCCAGAACTATTAAAATAGTGATCTATTTTTTAAACAGTTAATATGTAATGCATCTTTCTGGAATTATCCTGATGTTATCCATAGATAAACTGTGTGTAACACTTAAAGTGGTTCTAAAGGCTCAAGATTTTTTAACTTCATGCATCCCCATGCAGTGCAGCATCTCCAGCCCCCTTAAGCCCCCTCTCAATCCAGCGATGTGCACTGGAGTCTCGGCTATCCCGGGACTCCCTCTCCTCATTGGCTGAGACAGAAGCGGGAACCCAATCACAGCCAGTGAGCCAATGAGAAGAGAGAGGGGCAGGGCCGAGCCTCTGCTGTGTGTGAATGGACACACGGAGCAGCGGGTGCCCCCATAGCAAGCTGCTTGCTGTGGGGGCACCCAACATGAGGGAGGGGCCAGGAGCGCCAACGGGGGGACCCGAGAAGAGGAGGACTGCTCTGTGCAGAGCCAAAGCAGGAATATAGAGCACTAATGGTAGGAGGCAATTTTATGAAGTACTGTCATATCTAACCGACAACCAATGTTATACAAGATAAGAAGGGTTTAATAGTTCAATGGAGAATACAATATAAAATCATGCTCCAAACAAGAGAGCTCAAAACCATACTTGTGGTGAGTAATAAGAGCGGTTTACGGCTAAGGTATCCCGGCTGTGAAGGGTCCTGTGTGGTGAGCCCAAAGTGGAGGGGTCCATGTAGGACAATGCCTACTGATGTATAGATCCACTGGTTGGTACAGAATGGAGTGTCTCCCAGAGGGCCGGAGGAAACCTTCAAGGTGTCACCAAGGATCGAGCACAGGAAGTGGTGCCACGGCTGACGCCAGTGAAGCGTAGGGGAAGCAGCAGCAGCCATCGTACATCAATCAGATTGAGTGGATGGCAGGAAGCTAGCCAGACAAGTCCTAGTTACCATGACGACACGTTTCACAGGATTCAGTGCTTTGTCACAGTCAAGTTGGTAACCAGGAGGAGTTTTAAATGCTCAACAAGGAAGTGGGGCGGAACAAAAAGGAAGGCTGAAGCTGTAAATTTAAAAGCATATAGGTGTATATGTATTATTATAGGTTATTAAATAATGTCCATGCAAGCCAGTCTCATAATCCACCACCGTGACAATACATACAAAATTATATAAAAATTACTATTAAATACAATTAGTATAAATTCAAGAGAAGTTAAATTACAGCAGAAAAGCTTATCCATAATAACAATAAGCAATAAAAAACGTATAAATTTTGCATATGGAATTGCAAGACTACAGGAAAGACACTAGCACTTCATATGGATTATTTTACAGTACCCAATCTATTTCTTCATATCAAATAATAAACAATAAAAACATATATATTCAAAAATTAAACAAAACAATTAAGAAGAAAATCAATTAAATGTATATCACGGCACATATGACATTATCTGATGAAAAGCTACCAAGCAGGTCAATGATTATATTACATTATACAATGCATCTCGGGGTCCTCGTTTAACCCATCAGGTGTCATCGTTCTTAATTTAAATATCCAAAAGGTTTCCGTTCTACAAAAACGAGGGAAAATCTTTTGTTCAAAGTCAAAGATCTATCATTAAAACATTTGATCGCCAGAACCTCCATTTTCTTAAAATCTTTGTTGTGACATTGGAGAAAATGGCATCGCTGTCTATAATAAGTCGGCAATGTTCACCAACCCGTTTACGTAATGTACTTTTGGTTGGTACAACCAACGTAGAACAATTTACATGGACAGCATAAGACATAGATAACATATTAGGAAGAACAGGTGATGAATTGTTTAATCACAAATGAATTCCCCTTAAAGCTGGATTGTCCATGATGGATGGACTGACAGGTTTAACATCCCCTTTTACGACATTGGAAAATGCCTGTTCTGTTATCATAACACTTAAAAGTAACACTAGGATCCGAAGATAATAATGTGGCAAGTTTTGGGTACAGTTTTAAGATGTTCCAATGTTTACGGATAATGCCTGAAATGGCCTTGTATTTATTATTAACCACTAGCCTACAGGGCACTTATACCCCCTTCCTGCCCAGGCCAATTTCAAGCTTTCAGCGCTGTCACACTTTGAATGACAATTGTGCGGTCGTGCAACATTGTACCCATATGAAATTTTTATCATTTTTTTGAGACAGATAGAGCTTTCTTTTGGTGGTATTTAATCACCTCTGGGATTTTTATTTTTTCTTAAACAAACCAAAAACTTTTTTTCTTAGTTTTTCTTATACAGTTTTGTAAATAAGTGATTTTTCTCCTTCACTGATATGCGCTAATGAGGATGCAGTGATGGGCACTGATAGGCTGCACTGATGGACACTGATAGGTGGCACTGATGAGGAGGCACTGGTAAGTTGCACTGATGGGCATTGACAGGCATCACTGATGGGCACTGAAAGGCAGCACTGATACATGACACTGATATATGGCACTGATAGGCGGCACTGATAGGCAGCACTGACTGGCACTGTTAGGCAGCACTGACTGGCACTGTTAGGCGGCACTGATTGGCAGCACTGATAGGTGGCACTGACTGGCACTGATGGGTGACATTGTAAGGCAGCTCAGATGGGCACTATGTGGCATTGATGTGCACTGGTATGCACTGATATGTAGCATTGATGTGGCACTGATGGGCACTGGCACGTGGCACTGATGGGCACTGGCGAGCACTGACAGGTGGCACTTCTGGGGCCACACTGATCATCAGGGCACACTGATCATCAGTGCCCTCATGATCAGTGTACATGTCCCCTCCGCGGAAAGCCGATTACCGGCTCTCCTCTCCTCTCGAGCTGTCAGCATGACAGCTCGAGAGGAGAGAAATGCTGATAACCGGCATTTCCGTGTTTACATGTGATCAGCTGTGATTGGACACAGCTGATCACATGACTGAGCCGACATCTTCGGCTCTTTCCGTGATCCGCTGTGTCCGAGGGACACAGCGGACCGGCAATCGCCGCGCTGCACGCTCCCTGAGCCAAGCATGCGCAGTGAGAATGGTAGGACATATGATGTCCTATCAGAACGAGAGAACCACCTTGCGCCCGTCGTATTTTAGGGCGGTCGATAGGTGGTTAAAGTCTGTTATGGACTGCCGGCGGTAGCCTCTAGCATTCCACAGACCGGAATTCCCCAAGGCGCGGAATCTAAGCCCTGACCTGCTTGCTCACCAGGGTCCCTGATGGTGGGGATGGACTTGGAGCAGGCCGAAACCAGGTTGCGGCCCCTGGGTGCACCCAGCTGTGGTAGAAGCACTTGCCGGAAGTGTATAGCATGTGAGAGCCTGATGTAAGGAGGTAGAAAGAGCAGAGTCGGGCAGGCCGGGTCGGTAGCAGTGGAGGCAGAACGGTACAAAACAGTAGACAGAAGGATAAACTGGTCACAAGCCGGGTTCGGTAACAGGAGATCAAAATGTGCAGGATTAGACAGGAGAATGGTCAGGCAAACCAGGGATCAGAGCAGGAGACAGTCAGCAAATAAATGTCAGGCAGGGTCGGCAACAAGCAATCTAATTCAGGAACACAGGATACAGATAAGACCATACGGCAACTAGAGCACAGACCTGACCTGTTTAAATAGGGCGCCTTGCGCTCTGATTGGTGCCAGGAACGCGTCCGCGATCGGGAGTGCGCATGCGCGACCGCCGATGCCGTCGCGGGTGCCCAGGTCCCAATGCTCGCACGCTAGTGTGGATGGGCATACCGCACATGCGCAGACCCGTGCGCAATCATGGAAAGATCTGGGGTCTCTGACAAAGTCTCTAATAAATCTGACTGAGTTGAAACTGTTAATGGGTGATTTATTAATTTTTGGTAGAACAGATAAATGATTGGTATGTGCTTTTAAGATCAGACATGTTTTTAAATGTAGCACCCATGGCAGTGCCACGGTGTCATGTACCTGGAGGAGATCGAGCTGGAAAGGGCGCTTCTCTTGCACCTCTTATCCAACACCCTTGGTAGTGATGACAGGGAGTGTGGGGACAGAGAGTGGCTGACGTAGCAGGTAGCACCAGCTGGGGTTCGCAGGAAGCAGATGACCGTAGATCACCAGGCAGGAACCAGAACACAGTGACACTTGCTTGGCAGACAGGAGTGTAGCCAGGACACAACCCAAAAGGTCATCAACAGCCAGGAAACGAGGTACAGGAACATCAGGCAGAGACAAGAGTCAGGATACGAGCCGGGATCAGTATACAGCGGGGCAGTGAGGTACAGGAATGCAAGACAGAAGCAGAGTCAGAATACAAGCCCAAGTCACAGTAGGCAGGCAGAAATGCAAGGTGCACATGCAAGCAGGTATAGCAGGTCAAGGCTCAGGTAAAGCAGGAACTAGCTGAAGACCACTCAGCAATCCAACCATGTCAGAGTGCAGCCTAAATGGGACCAGTGCTCATACATGTGCGCGTGCACATGGGCAGTTGTTTTCTGCACATGCTAATATGTTTGCGTGAGTGTGACAATGCCTGTTTTGTATTGAGCTTTTGCTCAAAATTATGAGCATGCATGCAAGTATGAGTATGAGCCAGCCTTCTCCCTACAACATGTACTGAGGCTTTCTTATATTGCCCCCACCCAATAAACAACCTCTGGATGCCCATCTGCAACATTTTTTCAGGTTGAGCCTGAAAGAATTCCTTTATCAGTCTTTTAGCATGAATATTTACTTCTGGCTCCCATGAGTTTTCTTTTGGATCATAGCCCTCCCATTTAATTAAATAGTGAATAGCTCCCCTTCTTTTCCTGTAGTCCAAAATTCCTTCTATTTCATATTCCTCATTGCCACTGACCACTGTAGGTGCTGGTGGAACTGACCCACGTCCAGGGAATGAATCTAGTCTTGCTGGTTTTAACAAGGATACATGAAAGACTGGATGAATTTTTTAAGTTTCCGGGAGTAAAAGTTCTTAAGCTGCTGGATTAATTTGTCTCTTGACAGCAAATGGACCAATATATCTAGGTCCCAACTTTTTGGGCAGACAGGACAGTTTTAGTTTAGCATTTGACAGCCAGATTTTGTCACTTAGTTTGAGATCCAAGTCACCTCTCCTTATCAAAAATTCAGGTGTGGTTTCAGATAAAAAATTTGGAAATAAGCCATAGTTTGCAAAGAATTGGGTCTGTCCTGTGGCCGAGTGAACTGCATTATTGTAAGTGAATTCTGACAGGGGAAGAAGTGATGTCCAATCATCTTGCACAAAAGACGAAAAGCAACAAAGGTACTGCTCCAAAGTTTGATTTGCACGTTCAGTCTGGCCATTTGTTTCCAGATGGTAGGCTGAAGAAAAGTTTCAATCATCAGTGTTCTGCAAAGATCCCTCCAAAATCTAGATGTAAATTGTACTCCACGATATGAAGTGATACTACCAGGCACCCCATGAAGTCTGACCACTTCTTTGACAAAGGTACATGCCAAAATGGCCCACCAAAGGATGGTCATGGCATAAAATAAGGATTCTGGAACGTAAATTTGGAGGAACAAACACCTTCTGGTTATGCAGAAATAGACCTCCTTGTTCCTGAAGACAGACATCTTGTCATAGGACATCTTTTACAGATGCCTACTTTATCTGAGTAATCAGATCTACTTGAAGCAGCAAAAAGTTTTGGGCTGGCAGAATTGTGTCTGATTGACAAAGCATTTCATCTTCTGGATGCATGCGTGATAAGCATCTGGCTTGCCATTCTTGGAACCTGGCCTATAAGTTATTTGGAAAGTGAAGCTAGAGAAAGATAATGTCCACCTGGCTTGACAAGGTCTTAATCGCTTGGCCGTCCTGAGTTACTCTAATTTTTTATGATCCGTGAAGAATCAAAATAGGATGAGCTACCCCTTTTAGCAAGTATTGCCATTCTTCCAAGCTGACTTGATTGCCAGGAGCTCACGATCCCCCACATCTTAATTCTTTTCTGCAGAGCTGAGTTTTCTAGAAAACAAAACGATAGGATGTAAGAGGGACTTCACGCCCTGGCGCTGTGACAGGACGGCTCCTACTGCATTTTCTGAGGTATCCACCTCGAGGATAAAAGGTGATGCAGGGTCTGGGTTTCGCAGAATTGGTGCTGTGGTGAACAAAGTCTTTAGCTGGTCAAATGCAGCTGCTCCCAAAGAGGTCCATTGAAATCGAATATTTTGCTTTGTCAGCTGGGTAATGGGAGAAATTATGGCAGAGGAATTCTTAATAAACTTGCAACAGAAATTGGCAAATATAACATATCTCTGCGTGCTCTTTCTGTCCATTGGTACAGGCTATTCAAAGATAGACTTGACTTTTTGGGGGTCCATGGAAATGCCTGAGATAGAAATAAGTCCCAGAAATTGAATTGCTTCTTTTTCAAATTTACATTTTTTCAGCTTTAGCTTACTGTATAATTCATGCTCTCGTAGATGACCAAGTACCTTTTTAACATGCTCACGGTGCACCTCTGTGGATATTGAGAAGACGAGGATGTCATCAAGATACACAATCATGAACAGATCCAGAAAGTCTCTGAAAATATTTTACGAAATGATGAAAGGTTGCTGGTGCATTACACAACCCAAAAGGCATGACTAGATATTTTGAAGTGACCAAATCTAGTGCGAAAAGCTGACTCCCATTTGTCCCCTTCACAAATCCACACTAGGTTGTATGCCCCTCGTAAGTCAAATTTTGTGAATACCTAAGCTGTCCTAAAGTGCTGAAAAAGTTCAGGAATTAGCCATAATTAATATCTGTTTTTGACTGTGATTTTATTTAACGACAGGGGACACAGAGTGACATGAGAGCCGGTGTAGTAGGAAGCAGATGACTGTAGATCACCAGGAACTGGAACATGGTGACACTTGCTTGGCAGACAGGAGTGTAGCCAGGACACTACCCAAAAGGTCATCAACAACCGGGCAACAAGGTACAGGAAAGCAAGACAGGAGCAGAGTCAGCATAAAAGCCGAAGTCACAGTAGGCAGGCAGAAATCCAAGGACAGCTCAGGAGGGCAAGCCGAGTCATGCACAGGTAAGCAGGTATAGTAGGTCAAGGCTCAGGTAAAGCAGGAACTAGCTGAAGACCACTCAGCAATCCATCCATGTCAGAGTGCAGCTTAAATAGACACTTTGGCGCCAGTGCTCATACGTGCGCGCAGTTGTTTTCTCTACAATATAATACGTTTATGCGACTGTGACAATGCCTGTTATGTATTGAGCTTTTTCTCTGAATTATGAGTATGCACGTAAGTATGAGCATGTGCCAACCTTCTCCTTCCAACATGTACTGCAGTTTTCTTACACATGGATTTGTAGGTAAAATTCATCAGAAAACAGGAAAATGATTATGCTCTAAACAAAACTTCATGCTATCTTTTAAAAGCTTGGTTTCTCTAGAGCTCATTGATTAATCTTTGGACAAGAAAGAACATAATGCCGTCAGTCCCACTTGGTGAGGTATAGAGGTATATAATGACACCACATGTAATGAGGCCCAATAGTAGTGCTTATTTAATTTCTTCGATTATTTCATTTCTTCTGTGCAAAACCACAGCACACAGCACCCCCCGGCGGGCTGAACGAAAGATTGGTGTACTAACATAAGCAATGTTAGTACGGCGACCTCCCTTCCTCTGCTATTGTGTTCTGACAGGGGGACAGCCCCCCAAAAGGAGACACTGATCAGTGCTGGCAGCCATTGGCTGGATGCCGATCAGATTCTGATTTACCAATATGTC